TCTTAACTCTTTTTCAACATGTCTGAGATGTTAACTTGGTGTGATCAGGGCAGGAGAAAGTGTTATGAACCGCAGGTAGGCGTCAGCAGGATAAAGCAGCTGGTTCTTCATAGATGGAAGAGGTGTCTACTTCGTGTACGGAAGAGAATTTTCTTCTGCCTCTGAAATCGCTGGGAATCTGTGGTTCCTAGGAAACATTGAGCAAGTGCTGTCAAATCGAGGAGGACATTCTTCACAAGCCTTCATGCCAACCTCAACCCCTTAAGACCCGTAGGGATGACAGTGCCCGCCACTTGTCCTCTTATGGGGGAGCATACCCATGCGGTCCTTACTTTACCTTCCTTCATCCATAATTTGTGCAGCTGCTTTTCCTTAGTATCTGCCTCAGCAAAGCTTGTCTGTGAAGTTTCCCCTTAGTGGCCTAGAGCATGGGTCCTCTCCTGAGCCATATCTCTTGTATATATTTCTTTGGATACCTGAATATTTTGGCCTGCTTTTGGGTCTTTGGGAGAGGGGGATGTTAGACTTCCATGTTTCTTGTATGAAGCTCCTTTGGCTTGACTCTGAGGTGGTTCATTCGGCCCACATTATACCTTGGCCAGATGCTCTCAGGAGGCCCCTGTGTTGGTTACTTGCCCAGTGGGCTTTCCCCGGCAGGTGTCCAGCATCATAGTCTGATCCGCGCTGGGCTGGCTGGGAGCAGTTTAATTCCCCCATAATGCCCTGGATCAATGCGATGCGGTGGTCATTGTGGGCCCTTGAAATGGTGGTTGTCAGGCACACTCTCAACCGCAGATGGAAGCACCAGAAAATGGGAGCCAAGCGCTAGTTTCTTCTGAAGCTCAGGACCCTTGACAGTTGCCCGAGGGAAAGAGTCACCTGTTGATGCCGGCTTTGCTTCAGAGTGTTGCTCAACCCTTATTACCAGGAATCTTTGGACATGCGGAGGATACTAGCCTTTAAGCTGTGCCTGGACTGCACGTCTTTTGATATGGAAATGGCGCTCTTGTCTTTCATAGCAGTTCACTTTTTTTTTAAACTGGCCCCAAATATTTGCAATCCTTCCTGCCTAGGTCTATGAATTTTAGTTACATACTGTATTGTGCACACATTGCCTGCAGGCAGTGATGAGGTAAAAGGAATAGTTGGTTTGCAAGTTTCCTTCCTTATTGGCACAGACTTGTATCTTACTTGTGTCCTTGTTGGCCAGGCTTATATACACAATTGAAAAGTTTTACCTGTGTGTACAAAACCACAAGCCATCTCCCATCCTCCTAGCTCTTCATCTCTCCCACATTCCTGCTCTTCTGCATGCCTCTAGAGCTTCCTTGGCTGGGAAAAGCTGTTATGTTAAAGATTGTGTGTGTGTGTGTTTGTTTGTGTTGACAGGTTGCTGTATTGTTACTTGGTGTCAGCTGGATAAGCCAGTTCTGGTACAGCCCAAAGGCTTATTTTTTTCCCCTGGGAATAAATACTCAGGATCAGCTTATACAGTGGTGCCTCGCACAGCGAGGTTAATCCGTCCTGGATTAACCCTCGCTATGTGAAACATTGCTGTGCGGTAAGAAAAAGCCATTGGAATGCATTAAACTTAGTTTAATGTGTTCCAATCAGCTGATTTACTCACCGTTCAGCGAAGTTTTTCAATGGCCGGCAGCCATTTTTGCGCCCTCCCCTCGCTGAACGAGGGCGTGAAAACGCGATCAGCTGTCCGGCAGGTCGAAAATGGCCGCCGGAACAGCCGAAACGGCCGTGTGCGTTTTCATGCCCTACCCTCGCTTACCGAGGGCGCGAAAATGGCTGTCGATAAGCTAACCGCTTACCGACCTTCGCTCTGCGATTTTTGCCCATTGGGGCCATCGCTCTGCGATCGCATTAGCGATCGAAAAAGCATCACCGTAGAGCGAATTCATCGCTCTACGGTGCGCTCGTTCTGCGAGGCACCACTGTACTGGAAAAGATGGAAATGCTAAGACAAGTTGAAGGCAATAGGAAATGAGAAAAGCCTACATGAGATGGATTGACTCATAAAGGAATCCAGCCAAGCCGTGTTTGCAAGACTTGAGCACCACGGTTAAGGATATGGCATTTTGGATCTCATTAATGCATCACGTTTCTCCAAAGCTGAAAGCTGTGTGATTGCACATATCAGCAACAAATACATGCATTGAGAGCAATGGCTCTTCCACCCTTATTGCTTTAGTTTTGAGGATGCTTAAAGGTACGGTATGCTGCAGTACTGTGAGAAATTTGTCTTCAGGGAATGCTTGCCAAAAACTCATGATCCTTTTAGGGAAGTGAACACAGATGCTCCTAACAATTTGACTTTGCAGGTCAGGAGTATGGTCTTTTTTTCAGTTCCACCATAAGAGGAGAAAAGGCATTTGGTGGAAAACTGTGTTTTCTTAAGTAGCAACGTTCCGGGAACTGGGCAGAGGGATAAATAAATGAGAATGCTGTTTCCAAGAACGACGAATGGCACAGCTGATCAGCCTGGTACAAAACTTTCAAAAATGTGCTGAAGCTTTTTTTCCTGACCTATATTGCTGTTGTGGGTGGAAACTGGCATGTTTAGATAGATGCTCACTTCTGCAACAAGAGAGATGCTTCACACATAGAAATCTAGTGCGTCAAGGAAAAAAAGCCTGTTCCCTAGGCTTCTTCGTGATGTGCTGAAGCTTCATCAGGAAGAATAGCACTGAGACATAGGAACTTCTTCCTAGAGTGTGAGGTGGCTGTAGTCTAGGTAGGATATCAAACGGCTTGATTTTGCAGCTCATAGAAATAGGTAGTTACTCCTGATCCTCTTTGGTATGTTTACTGCCAGCCTTGCCTCCTCCTGGCCTTCTGGTTGGCCCTTGTGTGCTAAAATAGGGTGCATTTTGGACCTGGGTCCCTTGCCGTCTTGTTTTCCAGGACGCTGCCTCAAAGGAGCATTCTTCAACTTCTGTGGCCTTGGTGGAGGTGTCAACCTTTGGGGAACCTCTGACCTGTGAGAGCACAGAGGAGAGATTTCTTCTTGTATAAAATGCCGTCTGACTGAGTTGTCTTATGGCTGGCAGGCCGTCACCTTGTTTGTTAAGAGAAAGAATTCGTTGCAGGGGCCAGTTCTAACTGACACAGGTAACTGTGGGGATTTCTGTTCAGACAAACCAATTTAAAAAAAGGCTGTCAGTTAAGGTGGGGGGCTGCTCAAAGTTAGAATACCACTAAAGTTCCCCCCCCCTCCATTGCCCCTGGGAGTGTGTATGGCACATCGGGAGGTGTTGGGAGTTGCATTGAAAAATGAAAGCTCTTGTCTTTGCAGTGTGTTATGATATAAACTATTTTCTCTCTTTACTTTCTGGGTTGTTTTGGTATTTTTAACGGCTTCTCTGTTCTTGTATGGCTTTTATCTGATTTTAAACTTGGTCGCTTGTATCTTGGTTATATTTTTAGCCACGCTGGACACCCTTCAGTAGCAAAGGAGACCCCATTGTCTTAAGTGGAATTCAATATAATTTTTTTGTGCTTCTCCAAGTGCAAATTGGTGTACATCGGACGGTCATGGCAGAGGTTGAAGGAAACTTTCCACAGATGTTTTTTCTAGCCTCCCCGATTTCATAGGGAAATCAAGGCTTTGCAGTTCCTCCAGTGTTCAGTGTTATGTCCCCATATACTGCTCCCTTTATGTGACACAAACTGGTTGCAGTTCAGCTTGGTATCTCAGTTTCTGGAAACACAGCTGCCCTCCCACGTCCTGTTGTAAACTATTCTCCGCACTCCCTGAACTCTTCCCCATTATCTTGTGTCAGTTTCTTGTCCTGGAGGTCTGAGAGCTTTCAGTTTCATTTCTTAAGCATGCTTGGTTTGGCTCTTGCTTCAGTTCTCTTTCATGTTACTAAGGTGTTCCCTCCCCCCCCCCAGCACAGCAAGTGCTTGCTTGCTTGCTTCTTGAGCAAAAGATTTTCCTTTGGGAGTGGAACACATTCCATCTTCTACACCTAATAACCTCTCTGTCTACTACTTTGTGTACCCTGCTTGGCAGGCCCCTCACTGCTTAAGCCAGGAAATCGGGTTCCAGCGTTGTGTCCAGGGTAAAAAGACATGACTTTGCTCCAGAAAGCATGATCACGTTGACGCAGGACACTTAAGAGAGTATGAGCTGCTGTATTTAGTCACTGTGGTGTGGTGGGTAGAGTGATGGACTAGGGCTTGAGAGTCCTGGGTTCAAATTCCTGCCTTGGCCCTAGAAGCTCATGGAGTGGGGGAAGGCAGCAGCACTGGTAAAACCACTCAGATAGTCTTAGCTGCTTTGAAAACGCTGTCGCCGTCAGTTGTATGGGGCATGATTGCACACAGCACACCAAACGGTGGTCTTTTCCTTTTGCGCCTCCTGTGTGTTTTCCAGTGGCTCCTGCTACCGTTTTGTCAGGGAGGAAAGGAGAGGATAGCTGTGTGGTGCCTTTTGGAAACGACCCACGTGAAGTCAGCAGTGGTTCACAATGTGATGCTCAACAAAGAGGGCCTGTGGCAGAGGCCCAGGGACAGAATCATCCTCAGATGGACCACTTGCCAGTTTTTCTTTTGCCCTGCAAGGGGTAGAAAGAGGCTCCTAGGCGTCTTGGCTTGGACGTCCCGCCCATCCCCCTGTGGGTGGACATGGTTTGCTCCCGGGTGAGCATGTGCCGCCTTCTCCGGCCTAAGGAAAGCAAATGGCACCTGAAAAATTAGATTCTGTGCTCGCCGGGTGGATCTTCAGGCAAACAAGTTCTGTTTGAGGAGGGATTAGCAACTGCTGGTGGGATTAGTTCATATTTGGGCAAGGATTGTACGGATTGCATGAAGCTGATGCTACCTTTCCATTAACACTAAAGCTCGGCAGTATTGTGAATTCTTACTCCGTTATCGATCTTCAGCAAGTGGCGAAAAAGCAAATCTGGCATAAAACTCCGGGACAAAGAGTTTACTATTTGTGGTGGAAATATCAGGTATCGTGACCATGATGGTCTCCTTCCCAGGTGCTCTTGAAGGACGGTGAGGGCCATGCCCACGTCTGGGCTCCTGCATGCATAGCTTTCTATCATGGAAGAAGGAGGTGGAAAAGAAGAGGTGATTGATCTGAATAGTTTCCGGAGCCACCGAGGGAAAGGTATGTACGTTGGTAGCTTTTTCTCTCTCTCTCTCTCTCGTTCTCTCTGCTGTACATAGTAAAAACATGGAAGGATGATGTATGCAGCAGCTTGTATGTCACAGCTGTGCATCCCTCTTGTGAATCTCAGTGCAAGCTAGTTTTAGTTAAATGTATGTTCGCCCCTTACAAGACGCTGGACAATAACGAAATGAAAAGAACAGTATCTTTATTTGTGTTCCTTTTCATGCTGCAAGCTTTTGAGTTGCTGGGAACATCTCTGTAGATGGGATGTTCAAGAGAAACAAAAAAGGGAAACAGTATTTTAAAAAACCCAAACAAATACAAAGTCAGTTTGTATTACTTCCCTTCCACTTTTGTTTTTACTATCTGTTTCTTTTTTCTTTAACATCTAGCCTGAAAAAGAACAAAAGGTATCTCTGTGCATTTGTCCTTTGAAAGCTATGGTAGTTTAAGCGAGGTTCTGAATGTTGCCCAGATGTAGACATACCATTAAATAAGTAGCGGAGGTTTTAACTAAGGTCACTTTCACCCAATGTCAGGTTCTACTGCATGGATCCTTGTCCCTACGGTATCCATCATCAGTTGTAACCACCTCTCTAGAACGTGCTAGTCTTTTTATAGAGTACAGAGCTCTAAAGCAAGGAGGGGCATCCAGTGCCTTTCCAGATGTTGGGTTCTCTGCATCCCTGATCACTGGTCATGCTGGTTCCACCCAATAGTAGTCATGCCAAGAACAAGTTCTTGATTCCCTGCTGTAAAGGGCTGATATTTCAAAACCAAGTCCTGCCATGTTCCTAGCAAGCAACCTTTGCTTATTTCAGTTTTTGCAAGGTTTAGGTTGGTTATTGTATTTTTTTACATTGCGTTTGCAGTAGTCAGCTGGCTTGCTGTGGTCAAGACGGTATACTTTCAGCACTAAAGATCTGTGCGAGATGTAGTCTTGTTTTTGAAGCTACGCTATAGAGTTTCCTAGGTGTCTTTGGTCTTCTTCTTGCACTTTGCGACCATGCCAATTCAGGAAACTGATTTCACTTGAGGAATGAAGAGTAAATATATATGAGCTGCTGTGAACCTTCAGCCGGTAGGTAAGTTTGCCCTCTTTCTTTCAGACAGAATTAACCACAGAGACGAGGGGCTTATCACCATATCGGACTCCTCGGATGAAGACTTGCCTGTGATGCTGGACATACCTGTTCACCGGCAGTGGGAAGATGAGGAAGATGATGATGTAGTCATCTTGATGGAGGTGACTGTTTACTCCCACGTCCCGTGCCCCCCACTGCCCCAGTATGGCAAAATCAGACGAATAATGGGCTGCAGTACCCTGCCATGCAGTTTATACCGTCTTTGGCCACTGAATGGAAAGTCCTGCCAGGGGACTAAGGCGGAACTGCACTACTTACACAGGTGTTGTTTTTTGCTCAGCCGATGGACTTGCTGAAGGAAACCCACCCTCTGTGTGCGCAGACAGCACAACCCCACCTTTCTGTTGAGTGGGAGTTCAGTTAAAATATTGGCCTTCATTTTTTAATTCTCTTAATTCCCAAGCATTTGGAAGTACTTTTAATTTGACATATATGCTAAGTTAAAAATGGAAGTCGTTTTTCCTTTGACAAGTCAATGTCAAAATAAGAGACTTATTTAATTGTGTACCAGATTACTGTGGCCCATTAAAAGCCTATCACAAATTGAGAGCATCTTAGCCAGGCTTTTTGCAGCCGATTCCGATGGCTTTTCCTATCTTGGTTGTGTGTATTATAGTCATATAAAAAGTCCCCGTGACTTCCTGCCCCTGTAAAACACTGGGAGTCTTACTCGTGTTGCATTCTAAAATAATTTTCACTCGGCTTTCAAAAATGCCTGCCTCTCTAAGCTTCAAAGAGCTTTGCACATAATGAGGAAGAGCAGTGAGCTTCCTCCCCAGCCATTGATCCTAGAGTCCGTGGTTGTTCTGAAACATTCTGCCTTCTCTTTTTGCTGTTATTGTGATAGAAGTCAGCATCTTCTGAACAATAACATGTTGTTTTTTAAAGCAAACCCTGTTAGCAGCCGCTCCCAAAGGCTTTTGCGGACCGTTCTTGCCACGCCATCAAACAGGCTTAACGCCAGGAGATTCTGAACTTCTGAAAAGTGCATTGCTCCACTTTTCTTTATTCCCAGAAAATAAACCGCCCCTTTGGTCTGTGGCACATGATGTGACCATAGCATCTTATCGGGTACACGCCGGGCCTGGAGCCCCTGAAAGTCTTCGACCTGGTAGTCGGTCCATACTGTTGCATTGTCTTCCAGCTCAAGCAGAGCCTTGTTGCCAGAGCTGTCCTGCATCTGCCTTTCTTTGCTCATTCCATCATGCGAAAGTCCAGGCTGGAATGAATCCTCAGCTCTCCTTGCCCACAGTCCTTTATGCTGTGTATGAAGCAAACCAAAGATTTCCTCAATGCCATTCCATAGGGCATCAGTTCGGTCCATATGCCCACAGTTTACTTTTGTCCGGGGTACCCTTGTACCAGACTAACAGTCCCTCCCCCTTGAAATACCAAACTCAGATCTTAGACTAAACTGTTAAATGGATGATGATCCAACACTGTTTCCACGAACCAGAAAAATGGCAATCAAAATATGCAAAAGCCATAGTTTGTCAAATACTTGTGACAACCTTCAGATACCAGAGGTATCTTTTGGTGTATATGAACCATAGTAAGATGTTAGGCCACAAGATATTTGTAGTGAATTTCAGATTTGCTGGGCTGTCATGCAAGTCAGTGATGGATACAAAGAAAGCATAATTCTTTAATAAAAGAAGAAACGATAATTGGGAGCTCTTTTGTAGTCATTTGCTATCCCCCATCCTTTGGACAGATATGTTTTTTACCCCTTTCCATTTCATTTACTCTGAACATTTGGGGGGGGGACCCTAATATTGCCCTGCTTTGCAGAAATTCAGAATGGTGTATGTCATCCCTACAACTTTATCTTCTCTACCGTTGCAAAGTGAGTCTTGACCTCTGTGAGCTTTATGACGGAGAACCTATTTAAACCCAGGTCTCTCATAAGGGTAGGATGGCGTTGTGGATTTTCCCATCTCTCCCCTTTCATGAGATGTAGCATCCAAGGCAGTTTGGAAGCCTCTTATCAGGGTACAAAGACAGAAGTATTCATATTTTAGCTCCCAGAGATCTAAAGCCTTTGCCCTCCACTTAGGAAAGGGGAAAGGTTACTTCTAGGGCTTTCTGTTCCAGGGACACCCCATCTGTTTAAGGACAATTTTGGCAGCTGTCCTTTCAAAGGAAACACTCCCCCCCCCGTCTCCAGCTATGGGTGGTCTTGATTCCCCTCCCCAGGCCACCCAGTTGTGAAGGTGATTGAGTACAGTAATTTGGGAAAATCCGAACAGCCCCACCCTGCCTGCCACCTTGAACACATATGATTTTCATAGCTAAGCAGGGTCAGGCCCAGTTAACACTCAGATGCGGGGTGGGGGGGGACATTGAGGAAATGCCAGAAATCTCCAGGTCAGCCTAGCAAAGAATCCTGCTAGGAGTTGAGCTCGCTGGCACCAATGCTGTGACTTGGCAATTCAGGCAACGTCCCACACGGTCATCATCCTCTAATGGTCCTTTCCCTCTTTTTTTCTCTCCAAAGCCTGCCTCGAAGAAGCTGCTGCGCCCCAACGTGATCCGGCCGGCTGCCCCCTGGCAAAGCGCCAGCAAGTCAGGGGAGGGGGGATCCCAAGGTGACGTGGCAGCCACCGGGCCCCCCGAGAGGCAGAAGGCGAGGACCCCTCCCTCTCCGAGGCGACCCGGCGCTCGCCGGAACGGCCCGAAGGCGAGCGGCGTGGTCCGGGGCAGGAACGAAAGGGAGGAAGAGGTTTTGGAGCTGCCCGACTCCCCCGAGCCGAGAGAGCTTGGTGGAACTGTTTCGGAGCCTGGCCCCAGCGCGGGTCGGACGCCAGAGGCAAGGCCCGGCGGCGAAAAGGAAGTGATTAATCTGGAGGAGGTGGTCCTGGTGGCTGATCCGGAGGAGCCACCCCGGAGGGATCGGGAACTGCAGCCGCAGCTAGTGCCAAACCTCGGCGGCTCCGTCCAGTGCGTGGAGGAGGACGCTCATCGAGAGCACCCTTACTTCCAGCCGACAGAGGAGGAGATCCGTGTGGTGCTTGACCTCCTTGCTCCTAGGCAGGACCTTGGGCCGCTGCCGAGGGTGTATCAAGAGGAGATCCCGGGCCCTGCCTTTCCCAGGCCCGAACCACAGCAGGATGGAATCCCAGGGCCGGCTTCCCCTCAGCTGGCTCACCCACCGGAGGAAAAGGGAGGCCCGCAAGCAGCAATAAACGAACAGGCTGGCCCGGCTTTTCCAGTCCAGGGCTCTCTAGATTCCGGCTCCAGCGAGATTCCCAAACAAGGTGCTGTTCAGGTGGACAAAGACTTCATTGCTCTGCTCGTCAGAGAAACAGTGAGTGTGTTGCTTTGTGGACATCCCTGATTTAAAAAAAGCAATGCCTTAACGAAGAGAGGGAGCAATTTTGCTGCAAAGGGAGGTAAAACAATACTGGGGAATGAAATGTGGTGGTATTCCTATCTCCTGCATGAGTATTGTGGCACAGTGGGAAGGAGGATTGGGAAGGATCCTGTCCACGTATTGTCCCATCCGTATGTGATTTCAATGCCAAATCAGAAGTGAAGGGGAAGGTGTGTTCCCTCTGATTTAGCCTGCACAATGGGATTCTTGCTTTAGTCGTCAGATTTGCATAGCAAGTCCAATCACAAAACAAAGCACGCTAAATGCAAGATCTGGAGGCCAGGACAATCACAGGCTATGGCAAATTACTTAAGAGAGAATGCCCTCTGAATGTGTGTTAAATGTATGATGGGCCTGCCTAAACCAGCACTCAGACGGGCCAGCCCTCAGCAAGTGTGTTTAAACTAGACTGGGCCACAAGGAAAGTTTGTGTAGATGAAAAGTTGCATCTTGTATAAATCACACCTTACTACAGTGGTTTTGAACTTCCTGCCTTCATGGAAGTAAACTTCACATTTTTGCACGTTCTCAGTACTAGTAACGTCTGACTCTTGTTGGCAAGGCTGCATTACAGGTGTTGAAAGTGGATGCTCTCTCTTGTGACAGGTTTGGCCAGGGGTTTGCCTCCAAGTGAGAAAGATGTGGTTTAAAGGGGTGCTTCTCTATGACATGTTTCACAGAGAGCCCTAGAGAAGTCATTCTCATGAGGATACCTACCCCTTTGCTCAGTTAAAGAGCTGGATGATTGTTGAATCATCGCCTCCTCCTCCCAGCTCACTGGATATCGTTCCTGCCAGGTGATCAGGTTGATTGATTTATAGATCAGCCTAAGCTAGTGAACTACCTACCATAACTGTGGTGAAGACCTGGACATGCACTGTTTAAACGTTGGTGAGGAACAGCTTTGGGAAAGGCTGCATTTTGCCTGTCCTGATCTAACCCGAGCCCTGCAATGCAAAGTTAGCACCTCACTTTCTACTGTTTGCATTTTGTTTGAAAAATGTCAATGTCCTTTTCATTCTGCGGTGGGAACCCGTGATGAAAAGGTAGGTTAGAAATATTTTAAACGTAGAAGTAGACTTTCAGCTTGTCTGGTAAAGGTGAATCGCAGTGTTCTCAGAATAAAGCCTATTAAATGTTTCTTACTTATTCCAAGGGTTGGTTTTGTGTGCCCAGTGTATAAAACATTGCATTGGGACCCGATGCATTTATAGCCGTTATCTTACTTGGATCCAAATATTCTTTCTGTGTGCTTTTTGTTTGCTGAGTGTGAAGCTTCTCTTGAACTGCCTGTCAGCCAAAGTGAAATGTGTCTTCCTCCTCTATTTAGGAAGCGAGGTTTCCAGATGCAACAAGAGAGTATATTGAGGAACTTATACAGAGCAAAAACTGCTGTGACTTAAACATGTAAGCATGGATGCTTTTGCGGCGTAAACCTGTTAATGATGATCAGTCTAGTCTACTGTACTGCATTTGACAAAACAACTATAAATGCACAGAAAATAACAAGTTAGAGATGAAGGTGGAATAATGCGTGCATCTAATACATGTCATGTATACAGAACAGTACTGATGTATAGTAAAAAAAGAATTACTGTATAATACAGTATTCTAGCACATATCAGAATATTTGTCTAGATAATATTTGGACTCCTTAATTTTCCTACGTGGAAGCATTGCCTCATTTTTTACAATAAAACAACCTTTGTTTTGACAAGAATAGACTCAAAATAATCTACATGGCAGATTACTTTAAAAAAGGAGAGAGAGGCTATGTAAGGGGAATCCTTAAAATGTCAAAAAGCAAGGCACAAAAGATTCTTTCATTTTCATTGGTGCCACAAGGACAGGTACAGGTTAAGAAAAGGAATTTCCGTACAGTGATCTAGAAATGTTGAATGTTCTTACAACCATCTTCCAGAACTGCGGAATGTTAACACTTTGCATTGCCCAAATGCAAAGATTTTCCAGCATCTTTGAATCCTGTTGAAATAGTTAGAAGAAACTGTTAACTGCAGGTGAGGAACCATGTTTCAAATGGGAACAGGACAGATTGGCAAGAAAATAATTAAAAATGTTTGACTGACCAAAATGTATGGCTGTAACCTTTGTTTTTTTGGCTGTAAACTTTGTTTTTCTCTAATATGGGTATGTCTGGATGCCAGTATCATAGGATTGCCTTTGAGTTTTGTTTAGCTAGCCTGCTTACAAATGGATTGGCTAAGACTTTTTTAGTTGAGTGATAAAAAGCTTGGAAAATGCTCTCTTTCAGACAACAGCCCCCCAAATTCTGGGACGATCTGTAATTTGTAGTTTAGACCCTTTATGAGCCTGCTCGACTGTTGAGATCATCAGGAGAGGCCTTCCTCTTGTTCCTGCCACCCTCACAGGGGCATTTGGTGGGGACACAGGCGAGGGCCTTCTCGGTGGCTGCTCCCAGACTCTGGAACTCCCTCCCACTGGAGGCCAGCCTGGCCCCATCTTTGCTGTCCTTCTGCCAGCAGGCGAAGAGCTTTCTCTTCAGGCAAGCCTTCCCTCAGTGACTGGCTGCCTGAGTGGGATTTTTAAATGGATTGTTATGCCTTGCTGCTTCGAATGTATCTTTATTATTGTTTTTGTTTACCATTGATCAGAATGGTATTTGTTCCTTTTTAATATTTGTATGCACATTGTTTCTAGCTTTAAATATTGTCTTTTAATGGTGTGAGCCACCTTAGGCCCCTTTTAAAAAAAAGAAAGGTGGGGTAGAAATCAATCAATCAATCAATCAATCAATCTTACAAATAATTCTGGAGGGCCCTTATCCCATTGAGTCCAGCTCCTTGTCCTTGAATCCATGGAAAAGTTAGAAGTTGCTCATACTGTAGTCCGACTTGCCACCTCTTGCTACACCTTGTTCCATTCTTCTCTCCTTTTTTTTTTTTTTTTTTTTTTTGATGCCACGAGCTCTTTATCCATGGCCTGACTCTTCTCCTTCCTTCCCTGTTGCGGGCCAGTTTCTCTTAATTCTTTTTCATCTGCTGCTACCCCGGAGCATTCAAGCCCTATCTGTCTGTTAAGGGAAGGTTGTGAAACGTTGCAGGAAAAAATCTGTGTGAAAGATTCCCCTTTCCAAGTAAGTGCCTCTGTTCCTTTGCTTTGCAGACTCTGTAATTTTCTTCTGGAAAACCCAGATTATCCAAAGAAGGAAGGCAGAGTGGTGTTAAATCCCAATAGCAGCTTGCTGTCCAGCCAAGATGAGACAAAGGCATGTTGGAAATTCTTAGATATGCATCGTCTAGCTACAGAGCAATATTTATTAGGGCTAATTTTGTCTTTTAAAAATTCATACTCCTTTTTTCTGCGTTGATGAAAATGAGTACAGTTAAGAGATTTATGAAAAGATGGCGATTTTAAAAACAATTTACGTTCCTTTTATTGAGCAGAAATCTAGTTATGTGTAGTTTTTTTCCCCCTGGGGTGTTCAAAGCACTGCATGTACGCGCTTTAACCAGAGATGGCATGAATTGAGTATTTGTGCAGTTCATTGGTTTTTGGTGCTTCAAAGCCCTGCCTCCTCTAGTGGGCACCCAATCAGAGGCAGCGGCTTGGCTTCCCTGCCCCGCCTCCTCCAGGCATTGCCTCTTCGTAGGCGCCTGCTGGAGGAGGCAGGGCTTATTGGCTATATGGCCAGTAAATGAACCAGCATGAACTGCCAAACCATCAGTTTGTACTCATCTGTGTCTCAAACTAATCTTTATGATGGTCCTGTAAACTAGACTAGTAATATTATCCCCATAGTGCAGAGGCAGAAGCTGAAATTACCAAGGCTGTCCTGGACTAGGCTGAGCTTTCACTGTGGGGAGGTATTTCAGAGCTTCTTAATGGGTGCCTTTTGGACCAGAATAGACAGAATAGGCAATTTTGAGAAGGGGTTGGTGGTTGTGTTTTAATAACTTGTGAGCTGCCTTGAGCTGCTTAATGGAGAGAAAGGCACAGAGAAATGTGAATAAATAAATATTCAGACCAGGGCGATCCTTTTGGGTCAATCAATCTGTATGTTAGGATTGTTTAGAAAATAATGAGGAGGAGTAGGATCTTGTATGCTACCTTGAATGCCTTTCATTAATGTGATAAGTGGTCAGCAATATATTGATTTGCTTCTTCCTCCGGCCTTTCTTTTTGTAGGTGCCTAAAGTAGACTACTTTGATCTCTCCAAACTGGACCCACTTGATCAACGTTGTTTCATCCAAGCGGCCGACCTCCTCATGGCAGACTTCAAGATGCTGAGCAGCCAGGACATCAAATGGGCCCTCCACGAACTCAAAGGACACTATGCAATCACACGAAAGGTTCCTGGACTTCTTGCTTTGGGAAAAAAATAACCCAACACAAATTAATTAAAAATTCCCTCCCCTATCCCACCAGTAAAGGCGCTTCCTTTTGCGTAGGTTAGAAACTTTACAGTCTAAGGGAAGAAATCATTCCCTAGGATATACCCCTCTATAGTTACAAACTGAATAAGATTTTACTAAATATCACTTTTTTTTTTTTGCAGAACTGCTTTTGGCATCTAACCTGGATTGTTGCCAAAGGCATTCTGCTTGGTTGTGTGTTTTGCCATTGGAGTATTTAAATTGCGTTTCTAATCTGTTTTTTTTCACCCTTACTACTATGCATCCTCAGACCTCTTATTAGTCTGTTTTTATGTTTTCATTGCTTTTTTTATTTGGATTTTACTCGTCATCTTGATTACCGTTTTGTGGCAGAAAGACAAGATATACACTTCATTCTCAAAGACATTTTTTGCCCGGTTTCCAGGTTTTATAGGTTTGGAGACAGCTTTAAGGCATGTGGAACTTTTCTCTGTCAAACAGCTGAGTTACGCTTGGACTGGATTTCTCACTGGTCCATGCTGGCTTTACTGGAGAAAGGGGCATTCCAGCCTAAATAGTGACGGAGACTACTTTGTAGTTTTGAGTGCTTGGGTTCAATGTCATTCTGATCAATTCTGCTAGTTATTATTAGAGACATGTACCCTCCCTTCCCCCTACACATAAAACTTTGCGTTCTGTACATACACCGTTGTGTGCCAAGGTCTCTCTGAGTTTGGATTTGAAACAGGCATTATAACCAGGCCGGGAGGGGAGCACCTAGAACGAGATCTAATCTTCGCCTGTCCACGTGCAAACGGCAGCGAAGTGTCTGCCTGCATTCATGTACCCGTATTCGCTTCCTTTCTTTAGGCCTTCTCCGATGCCATCAAAAAATGGCAGGAGCTGTCTCCTGAAACCAGTGGCAAGCGAAAACGAAGGAAAGAGATGAACCAGTATTCTTACATAGATTTCAAATTCGAACAAGGTAAGTGTTTGCTGTTTGTGCCATGGCTGCTGTTTGGTTTGAGAGCAGGTTTCTAGGATTTCCGCTGATCAGAAGCAATGCTTCTGATAGAATTCAGTTCTCCTTGTTTCAAATCTTGATTCCCGTCTCTTAGCAGAACAGTTTCTCTTAACTACAGGACTCTGGTTTTTATATCTTGGAGAGAAGGAGGGAGTGTGGTTTTCTTTCAAGGGGTTCAACCTTCAGTTGTCCCCCAACTTGTAAAACGAGAGTCACGTATTTACCCTCACATCCTGAAGCTTTATGGACAAGAAGACAAGTAACCATGGTGTTAAATGAAAATGGGACTTGGATTTGCAAGGAGAAGTACTTTATGTGGAGCCGTCGCTCTCCTGTTTTTCTCCCTCTTAATAGTCCTTTTGGTTTTGTTTATTTTTTTTAGCTGAGCATCTGCCCTTCTTTCAAACTGTGTTTCAGGTGATATGAAAATTGAAAAGCGCATGTTCTTCTTGGAGAACAAGCGGCGACACTGCAGGAGCTATGATCCCCTCTCTCTCCTCCCAGCCGTTCAGCTGGAACGGGAGTTTTACGAACAGAAGATTAAAGAAATGGCCGAGGTGAGCAAGGTCTTGGACCCAGATGGTGGGTTTGGGTGTGGGTGTTAAGAAGCATGGATCTCTCTTCCTTCTCGGGGAAAAGAGATCCATGCTAATACCCAGCAGTGCATCCTCCCCAGGCTCAGTCTTGGCGAATGTACTTTTTAAATGTATATTGAAGTATTTTCTACCACAAAGTGTGGGTGGCACTTTTCAAAACACGTGTGAGAATAAGTGTATGAGTTTGCTGGGTGTGTCGGTCAGAGGCTTCTGTAGTGTTCTTGATCGGTGGTTCTCAACCTTGGATAACCCAATATGTTCTTGGACTACAATTTCGAGAAATCCTGGCCAGCACAGCGAGGGGTGAAGGTCTCTGGGAATTGTAGTGCAAGGACATTTGGGTTACCCAAAGTTGGGAGCCAGACTAGATAAAAGGTGGGCATCCCGTGGCCTTCCAGGTATGTTAGATGGCCACTCCCATGTTCCCTCCTTGTAGTCTCTAGGCCTGATGGGTGTTGTAGCCAACAACAGCCTCTGGAAGGCCACATATACACCTCTGTGGTAAGGGGTCATAGCATCGCATGGGTTGGAAAACGTCTTTAGATTAGCTTTGGACTTATATTGGAGATTCTTCAAAAAGAGGTTCAACAACAGGAAGTCCTCTGCTAGCCGTTATGCCATGAGAGCCGTAGTCGCTCACCAAACGTGGGTCTTTTTAAGGAGAAAGGCGGGGTAAAAATAGTTTAAATAAAGAAATGTGTGGAATGCTCTCTGTCTGCTGCAGACTGGAGGCTCAATGTTTAACGGCCTTGCCCGTGTGTTGTCTCTCTTGTCAGCATGCAGACTTCCTCCTTGCCCTGCAGATGAATGAAGAACAGTATCAAAAAGTAAGTAGCCCTTCAGATATATGCTGGAAACACTGATAAGAGTAGCAGAGGCAGCTTGATCCACTTTTTTGCATAAACCTGTTGAGCTATTCTTTAATAGCCAGTGGTAGGCAGCTCAGAGCCCTCCAGATGTTTTGAGTTACCATTCCCAACACAGCCCGTGATAATGAATGATGGGGGTTGTAATCCACACATTGGGGAAAAACACTGTACTGTATTTCCTCCAGGCTGTGTCACATTAATGGAGCTGTCAGGACTTTTGGCTGCTTTGTGCACCTCCTTTGGTAAGACGGTTGGGTGTCAAATGCACACGAGCCTATATAAAGTGACTCGATGCATCTTCTCTGCAAATGTAGTTCTGAGCCTTTTGAGTTCCTTGCCCTTCCCATCACTCTTATCATCATAGTCGGTGTCAAATGCACACGAGCCTATATAAGGTGACTCGATGCATCTTCTCTACAAATGTAGTTCTGAGCCTTTTTGAGTTTCTTGCCCTTCCCATCACTCTTATCATCATAGATGCAAAAGCACCACATTTTTCTGATAAGGATACGTATCAACCTACAATGTTCCTTGTTCAAAGATATTTCCGTTACTACCTTTATTACTCTCAGGAAATTTTAAGGATATAAAAGTTTCAGTAGTATTGCTGGGAATAAGCTCGAAGGAACTAAAATAATAGTTCCGTTTGGAGAGTTGTTAATTTTCCCGTTTGTCCATCTGCAGGAAGATCAGGGGATTGAGGACAGCTCATCCTTAATCATTGTTGGGAAATCCCCCCAAGGTGGATTTGATTTAAATTGACTTAAATCATGGTTTAATGTTTTTTAGTTGGATTTTTTTTTACAATTTAAATTAACATTTAAAGATTGATTTTTGTTTTTAAGTCGTGATTTAAATCAAGTTGATTTTTTAAAAAATTATTGATATTTATCCATCCTGGGGAAAACCCTGTCCCACTGACATGTTTTTCGGTGTCCTCTTGGTTGAGAACCACTCCTCTAAAGACCGAAGCCAGGTCTTTCCTAGCTCCTCCTGTTTTTACGTGCGAGTTGAAATGCAGCCTGCATTCACAGCACAGAACAAGAGATATGCAGTTGGAGGCAGGATCGAATCTGAATAGCGCAGCTACTGGGGTGGAGGAGGATGTACGGATGGGTCTTCTTCCTATACACGTCCATCTTCAAAGTGGAGTCCACGGGCTCTGACCCTATAGTGGCCTGAGTCGCATGGATTTCCCCCCCCTCCCCATCCCCAGGATTATGTTTTGGGCAGGGGGTATCCTGGGCAGGAGGAAGGGTGGCCTTTGCAGCCCTTGAAGAGGGAACTAATCTGTAGGGACTTGGGTTGCAGGACGGTCAGATGATCGAATGCCGCTGTTGCTACGGGGAGTTTGCGTTCGAAGAACTCACGCAGTGTGCCGACGGACACTTGTTTTGCAAAGAGTGCCTAATAAAGTATGCTCAGGAGGCTGTCTTTGGCTCCGGAAAGGTAAGGGAAGCTTTGGTTTACTTTTTAAAAAATTTCTGCCTGGATATTATAGTATGCATATGGGGCCAGTGCTCATTCATCACTTGTACTTACGTTGCAGTTATCCAGTGGGGGTTCCTATTAACTCTCTACGGCAATCCTTCAATTAATCTAAGCTTTGTGTGTGTCTAAAGGTTGCCTTTGTGGTGGTGTGGCATCAGTGTGTGTGTGTGTTTGTGTTTAAGTGGAAATATTCTGATGCAGCAGTAGGGAGGCCCAGCTCATATTTGGGGAATCCAAATGTCGCCATCACCAGGTGGTTTCTCAGCTTCTGTACAGTTTTCCCCCTCTACTCAGAATCCAGTGTGCCTCTTTTTAGACAGTAAGAGCTTCTCCCTAATATATGTGGATATTTGTAGCTTTATCCTTTTTACCTTTAGCTGTGCCCACCCTTGATATATGGTTCCCGAAAACATCTCTGCAATTTAATTCGCACCTCCAGCTGAAACGGGATCCCATACACTCGGTGTAGAGCCGGTGTTGCTGAACTGCAACTTCCCTCAGTCCTAGTTGCCATAGCCGCGAGTTGGGAATGATGGGAGTTGTAGTCCAGCAATAACTGGAGGGGCTTCGTGCCCCATATCGCTGGTATGGAGTGTTTGTATAGGGCCAGGTGAACAGGAATTCTTACCGGGGTTGTCAGCCTTGCGCTTCCTTGGGGGGGGATGTCTGGGGGGGGTCTCACTTCACCATTTCTCCCCCCCATGGAGGTCTGTCAAAACCCTTGTGTCTATGGGGTGTTGGTGAAGATCAGCTGAGCAATGCAAAGCACCCCTTTCGAATATCAGGAGGTACTGCCATCTATTTTTTTAAAAAAAGGTCAAGCTTGATGTCATTTATGTCCCTCTTCTTTCTTCCCACGTCTCCCTCTGTGTGTAGTCGGAGCTCAGCTGCATGGAAGGGAGCTGCACCTGCTCGTTTCCGACGAGCGAGCTGGAGAAAGTCCTTCCTGAAAACATCCTATGTAAATACTACGAGCGGAAAGCAGAGGAAGAGGTGGCTGCGGCCTGCGCGGATGAGCTAGTCAGGTCAGGAGAGCCGTTTCTTCGAAAACCTGAGTGGTGGCGGTAGCGTTAGTGGTTCTGAGCCAGTTTGGAACGGCTAAATTTCACAATGGTGACTGCAGCTGAAACAGCCCTCGCAGATGGCCACCCAGCCTCTGTTTAAAACCCTCCAGTGCAGGGAAAATCCTCCTCTTTCAGAAGCAAATCAATAATACCTCATCAGTGTCAAAAAGTAAAGTACAGTGGTGCCTCGCATAACGAGTGCATCGTTTAACGACGAATCCGCATAGTGATCTATTTTTTGGGATCGCTAATACGATCGCATTGCAATGTACTGAATGGGCAAACATTGCAGTGCGATGATCGGTAAGCGTTTCGCTTACCAATCTTCGCATTGCGATGTTTTTAGAACAGCTGATCGCCGGTTCCAAAATGGCCGCCGGGTGCCCAAAATGGCCGCTGCAAGCATTTTCGCGCGCTGCCCTCGCTTACTGAGGCGGCGAAAATGGCGGCGCTATGGAGGATCTTTGCTGACCGGTGAGTTTGGGCCCCATAGGAACGCATTAAACAAAGTTTAATGCGTTCCTGTGGAGTTTTTAGTTCCGTTTAGCGATGTTTCCGGATAGCGACGATTAATCCGGAATGGATTAATGTCGCTATGCAGAGCACCACTGTACCCTTATCCCAGGATCTCCCCCTTTCAGCTTGATTCTAAATCAAGAGTCGTGGAAATGTCCACCAGAAATTTGGAAAAGGACATGTTGAGTTAGGTGTAGCTTCTGTATTCCCTTAACTTCCAGTTACAGTGGTGCCTCACACAACGATGTTAATTGGTTCCAAAAAAATCAACGTTGTGTGAAAACATCGTTCTGTGAAGCACCATTTCCCATAGGAATGCATTGAAAACCGGTTAATCCGTTCCAATTGGAATGGATTGCCATCGTTCAGTGAAAATCCCCATAGGAAACATCGTTGAGTGAAACAATGTTTCCTATATTGGAATGTATTCAAGCCGACTCAATACATTTCAATGAGGGAAAAGGGACATCGTTATGTGAAAATCCCCCATAGGAAACATCGCTGTGTGAGGTAGCAAATTGATCAGAAAAAGACATCGTTATGTGAATTCATCGTTGTGTGAGGCACTCGTTGTGCGAGGCACCACTGTATTTAAATGGATCCGGCCAGAGGCAAGCTTAGTCCAGCATCCAGCTTCCCACAGTGACCAGCCCAGGTATCTATAGGAAGCCCATATATGGGACATGAAGGAATTAGCCATGGTCTCAGTTGTTGATTCAGGCATTCGGTAACCATCAGGCCATAATAGCTTCCTTGATTATTATTTTTCTCTTCCATTGCACTGTAACGTAGCCTGGTTGGCTGGATAGCTCAATGGTTCAGGCATCTGATTGAGGAGCCAGGGGCTGCGAGTTGGATTCCCCACTTTGAGTGGAGCCAGCCTGGGTGGCCTTGGGCCAGCTGCACAGTCCCGGGGCTCCCCCTAGAGGAAGGGAAGGGGAAACCACTTAAAAAAACCCCAAAGGGTCACCCTATTGACTTGATGGCACACAATTATTATTATTATTGTTGTTGTTGTTGTTGTTGTTACACCATAACATGCGGTCTATGTTGCTTATTTGAGAACCAAGACAAAGGGGCCCTCACTGTGATTCTTTCTTGGTTCACAGGTGTCCCTTCTGCAACTTTCCAGCGTTACTGGACAAGGAAGTGAAGCGGTTCAGCTGTCCTAACCCTCGGTGCAGGAAGGTAGGGAGTGGATGTCTTTCACTTTTTGAGGAACTGGTGATGCGACGGTACAGGCAGTTTGCTGCTGAATGCATTGATAGAAGAATATTAATAACAGACAAATTGTTTTGCCTCTCTCTGGGCTAGAGACGGCTGGAGGCCTCAAAAGAGAAGGTTGCCTATAGGTGTGTTTCGGGGCAAGCAGCCTCTTGTTGGGTTGGAGCTCTGTGTGCGTCTTTTACTGAGCTTTACACGAAGAGTTATGAGAACGTTTTCCTTGTACAACTCACTTGAAGAGGATGAATGGATGCTTGTCGAGGTACCCGACGTGTCAGCAAAGCCAGACTCAGTGGCCGCTTAATGCACATCATTTGATAGGTTTTGAGGAAGAGTCCTTTTTGCTAGTCATGGGACTTTGGGTTTCTTGCACTGCAGCCTCCAGGATTCACTAGGGATCCCCCCTCCCCCAACGCCAGCATTCTGGGATCTGCAGTCCAAACCTCTTGACTGCACAGGGAGGTTTTCATCATTCATACCTGGGCCTTGGTAGGGTTCTGGAGCAACCACCATTTGCCCTTGAAGAAGGAAATGGCTGAGAGGGGCTACGTTCCAGGGCACCACAAAGGATTATGGGCCTGGTAGTCCCTCTCTGCCCGCTAGGCTTTGTAAAGGGTGCAGTGCAAAAAAAAACCCTTTAAATTTTGAGCCTCATGCTAAGTGCTTGCCATAAATATATAGTATAAAGCCCCACTTTGCGACTGTCAAGTGATTTTTTTCATTTGTGATGATGCACAAAAGCCTGTTAATTTGGCCACGAGCGCAGGGGGAGACCAACTCAGGAAAGGTTTTCTGTCCAGTCAGCATTTCAACAGCTCTGTCCTCTCTCCTCGCAATAGATATTACTTCAACAGTAGGAGATTTGGTAGTTAGAGCTTCAGGACGCAGGAGAGAACCACTAGATGGCATTGTTGGTTTGTCCACAGTCAAAATCTTGTGCGCACACACTCTCTCTCTTCTTAACATATGGATCCTCTCCTTAAAAATGAAACAGAATCCACAGAATTATCGCAGTGAGCAAAGTCTTTTAAAGCCGTTTGTTTAGTTTTATGTCACATTTTATAATCCCATCTTTCCGCTAAAGAATTATCCCGTTTAATCTGGAGAGAGAACAACACTGACTTTTATTGGGGATTTGAACCCCGGGCTGGTTTGGTTCTGGTCCAGTATGGTGCCTAACACATCCTACAGGCCAAGCGGCCATCATTCAGTTTTGGAGCCAGGAGGAATAATGTTTCTCCAGGTCTCTCGGGCCCTGGAATTCCAAGGATTTCCAAGGGAGATAAGGAAGTTAAGAGCTTCTCATGAGATAGCAGATACGCTTGCATTCATATGTATTATCTAGATTAAAAAAACATAGTGATACTAATTCACTACAGGAGCCGTCCTTTGCTTTGTGACTACGTTTTCTGTTATCTTTAGCTGACCAAACAAAATTCCTTCCGAGCTGTATATCCATGTATTTCTAAGCCATGAAGGGGAGAGGAAGTATACACGTAACCCAAGCACAATGGCAAGTGCTGTCATCCAGATGTTGTGGGTTTGTAGCTCACGGCAGTCCTCGGTGGCCGGTGGCTGTGGTGGCCAGGGTTGCAGGGAGCGTGCACTTCAGCAATATGTGGAGGCGGCACGTTTGTTGTGTTTGGGTCATGTATACGGATGTATTGGATCCCTATTAGTGTGTTTACAGTGTATCTTTTCAAGTCGTGCTAGACGGTTCACCTTGTGGCTGCATGGTATGTAGCAAAAAAGGGTAGGCATCTGGAGTCCTATAAAGGCAGATATAAAGGGATAGAGGGAAGTGGTCCTGCAGAATTCACAAGATAACAATCCAGGGAAAGCGAGAGAATGCAGAAGATGGACGGCTCCACAGATGCCTTCCTGGAGGTGAAAATGGAGCTGTTGATCAGTCGCTCTCCACTCCTCAAACAGCAAATGCTTCTCCAGTCTTACAAACTAGGCCCCCAGGCAACTTTCTGATAGCTTGTCTTTCTGAGCCAAATTTCATCATGTCTGAAAGAACCCTTAGAGATACAGCCAAGACTACCATTAAAACGCCATTAGTTCCTGGGTCAAGGGAATGTTAAAAGCTTAATTCATCACATGCAAACAGGTCACGCGCAGCCTTGAAGGGTCCACTGTTCACTGAGCCTCACTGTACAGGAATAGCTTTTGGGAGTCAGAGAACTGGGTCGTGCCAGCTTGTTTCCTTCAGATGTCATATCAGTAGATCTAATGGCTGGTTGCTGAATAACAAGCCAGCTTTAATAGCAAACAGGGAAGGAGAAGAATTTAGTTGGGAGTCAAGATTTCAAAGTACAGTGGTGCCTCGCTTAGCGATGTTAATCCGTGCAGAAAAAGTCACTGCTAAGCGATAACATCGCTAAGCGATATTAAAAAGCCCATAGAAATGCATTAAAACCTGATTAATGGGTTCCTATGGGCTAGAAACTCACCTTTAAGCGAAGCTCCTCCATAGCGCCACCATTTTCCTATGCCTCTAAAGCGAGGAATCCGTCCCTAAACACAGCGGGTGGCCATTTTGTTTACCTGGTGGCCATTTTGAAACCGCCAATCAGCGGACTGAAAATGGGTGCTTTGCAATGATCGCTTCCCTGCGATCATCACAAAGCAAAATTTCCCCATAGGGACCATCGCAAAGCGATCGCTTTTGCGATGGCAAAAAGTCCATCGCAAAGCGATTTCTTCGCTAAGCAGAGCGATCGCTATGCGAGGCACCACTGTATCAGTTTTGCACCTCTTGAAACCCGATTAGTCAACATGCGCCTTGTCTTAAAGAGGGCTGCGTATTTACATGGTTCATAGTGGATCTCCCTCTTCCCTGAGGAATAAAACACACAAAATCATATATATATTTTAAAACTGTATGACTTAAAAGCATATGATTGTACATTATGTGCAAATCCACTACTCAAGGGAGGGAATACGAACTTGGGGGGAATGCATAAGAATTTCCACACAGGAAGAAAGAACACAGTCTTGCAAATTTTGTGTATAAAAAGAGAAGCTGGCGGTGCATGTGGTTTTCAGAGAAACACAACAGAAGCGAGACTGAGATTTTTCAATCCCCGGTCACAAATCTTAAGAACTGTAGTGAAACCGTGGCGTTTCTTCGGCTGTGAGCAGAAGTAGCTTTTGTGTCGGTGGCCGCATGTATGTGTCAGCACTTTTACTGTACAGTGTTTAGTCTGTGATATGTTCTGATGACATGTTTCTCTTATTTGATAATAGAGATGGGCCTGAACTGCTGTTTTGGTGGTTCATGCTGGTTTGTTTTTTGTTGGGACAGGTGTTCAGAGCTGGGAGGTACCAAGGACCTGTTTGAATGAAAAATGAACCACCAACGTGGTGATTCGTGCCCATCTCTAGTTGATACCCTTCCACTCTGGATATAGATTCAGAATGCATTGATCTGCCAGGCCATGATAGCGAACCTGAACATTCCTGATTATGCTGGAAGAGCACCCTCTGTTGTGGTGAAGATTCTTATCATTAATTTTTGTTGTGTTATTCATTGTACTCTAATATTTATAGACCAAATTCAGCTGCACCCCAAATTTGAATTTGCTTCTAAGAGAGATCCATCTAATACTTTCACTGTTACCCTTCAATACTTTGTGATTTGAATATAGATCGTTTTTTTCTGTAAGTGGGGTGTCTTTTTCTGGCTGTTGGCTGGCTGTTGCTTTTGCTTTTTGGTTAAAAAAAAAGGTCTTCATGTTGGAAATGGCAAGATTATTATTTTTATTAGATATTCTTGTCCTTGGTTTTTTTTTGTCTTAACGTTGAACCCCCAACTGGGGCAGAAAGGGGCGGTACAGTGTTTCTAAGAATGCGCTGTTTGAGAACGTGCCAGGGATGAATGAAAGGTAAAGGCTACCTTTACGCTTGCTTGTGGGGGGAGGAGAGAAACAATGAGATCTACTTATCCAGTGTTGGAAACTGAACATAGAAGTGGGTGGATTGTGTTTTCAAAGAATTTTTTATGTCTTCCTCCCCCCACCCCCCAAATCCTTCCTCAAAAGCTGCCCCCTTCCTCTAGCTCTTGGTAAAATTAGAAGCCTTTTCCCCCTCTGCCTTAGTTCCTCCGTCTGAACAGATGATGGCAGGTGATTGGCTGTGCACTGTGCTTTTCCCTTGCTGGCACGTGGCTCGCCTTGGCCGTGTGTGTGAGTATGTACCTAAGAAGACAGCCGGACTTGCTGACGCTTGCAGTTTCTATGTCGACGACGTCGTAGAGACCTTCTTCATATGTTATGGGCAAGCCGAGGCCTTGCATTCTCCTTTGCAGTCTCGGCACAGGGGCACTGTGGTGCTTCCACCCAGCTGGAAGGGTGGGAAGGTGAAAGCTGCAGTTTCCATGGTAATGCTTTGTTTTTGAAAGCAAGCCCAGGATCTCTTTGGGCACCTGGGAGGAAGAGGAAGAGGAGGAGGAGGAGGAGGAGGAGGAAGAAGAAGGAGAAGCAGGGTGGAAATATGGGCGCTTAAAACAACAGAGGTTGGAGTATCTACTTCTGCCAGCCCCCTTGCAGATATAACCTAATCAGACATTATAAATCTCACCTTCTTTTCTGTTTTTAAAAGAGCTTAGTCTCTTAAGTGGGATGCAGAGTTTCTCTCCTTGTCTGCATGCTTAATGCCATTTATGCATGCCAGTTATCTGGTATAATAAAAGATCAGGAAGCAGGTTGGGGGTGTGGGCTGCTGTTTCGCCTGCAGACGTCCACGTCGCTGTATAAAATGCCTCCACAATAGCATCCACCTAAGCTAAGCCACTTAGGTTAGTTGCAGGGAGGTGGTGGCACTGCGGGCTAAACCGCAGAAGCCTCTGGGCTGCAAGGTCAGAAGACCAGCCGTCGTAAGATCGAATCCACACAACGGAGTAAGCTCCCGTCGCTTGTCCCAGCTCCTGCCAACCTAGCCGTTCGAAAGCATGTAAAAAT